ATGGAAGCTGTCATTGCTTGTTTAAGGTAACTAAACTTTATGGATCTCTCCACAGTAAATTCTGGTCCTTCCCGGGTATATTTTCCCCTGGCACTCAGCCATATCTGATGAACTTTCCTCTATCTGCCATATCTGATGGGCTTTCCCCTATCCGCCATATCTGATGGGCTTTCCCCTATCCGCCATATCTGATGGGCTTTCCGCTTTCTGACATATCTGGTGGGCTTTTCCCTATCCGCCACCTGGGGAGTGTTCGAAGGAAGATCGGTATCTCCACACGAGGTTGAAAATCGATTTTGCTGCCCCATTTTCTCTGACATTCCGTCTTATGTCTTATGCTTTCAGAGAGGGAGACGTTATCGAATACAAAACTGACGGCTTTGTCTTTCGTGTCAGTGTAGTGATACTTAATTATCGTTATAGATTCTGAGGAACTACTTACGCAGCTATAATGTTATAAAGGTAAAGAATTGCTATGTGAAGACTTTCGTTTCGTGTTATTTAACCAGTGTACGAGAAATACTTAATTAGTAGTTAGCCCTATTTGATAATGACTAGGATATCCGCTCAGATCATGACAACTTATAATAGCAAAAGTGATATCACAAAAGAGAAACGTTATATTACTCTTGTATCGAATTTTTATTGGAAGATAGTCAATGCCACCTGTCCCCTTTTAGAGACAACACACGTGTACTTGGACACCCACCATTCGATCTATCCAAAGTTTTAGATCTCTACGTTAGTAGTACTAATCATGATCCCAACAAGCCCTCTTTCCCAGAACTTTTCTATATCAGCCTCTGCAAACGAGAATCTCAAAATGTGTGCGATATCTATCAATCAAAAGAGCTGACTCTGAAAACAGAAGTCAGAATTTTCAACATAAATTTCTAAACGATCCTACTCTATGAAGACGAAACTTAGATAACAACAGCGAGCATTACGCATTCATAAACACTTAGAAAGATTCTAAAAATCATATGGTCCAGAGCCATCACCAAAAAAGATAGAATGAAAAGTACATACCAAGAGCCTATTGCTTAGGACATCATAAGGAAATGATGGAGCTGAATGTGGCACACACTTCGTAAAACTCCAGAGAAAATCAACAGGCAATCCCTAACATTAAATCTGCAGGGGAAAAGAAAGAGAGAAAGGCTTAAAAATACTTGGAGACGCAAGCCAGATACAAATACTCCAATTAATATGAGATACGCCTGAAAGCATCTGAAAAGTAAAGCACAGGACGGAGACGAATGAAAAATTATTGAGGACCGTCTGTGCACCAGACTAGATAAAAGGAATAAGAGAGCGAGAGAGGGAGGGGGAGAGAGAGAGAGAGAGAGAGAGAGAGGGGGGGGGCGAGAATGAGAAGAACTGTACATTTAGCATAAAATTAACTTAACACTTCTAGAGATGCAGATATTACATTTCATTACTGGAGAAAGTATTAAATTATACAAATATTAAATAATAAGTTGTACTTTTTATAGTATGCCCTTGTGCTCCTTATCAGGCTTTTAGAAGCTATTAGCGTTTGCTGCTATTTACATTAAAATAAAAAATGTGCGCATCTTTATTTTTTATTTAAAAATTTGAAACAATGCGCACCGTTCATTACGCGTTCTTTAAAACCAAAGCGACTAGCTGCCATTTGTAAGTATTAATTTTTATAGAAATGGGAGTCGCTTAGTCAATTATTTTGTGACGTGATGTGAGTAAAAACGAGTAAGATTTACGGTATACTGTATACAACACACTAGTGCTTGACAACAGTAGCCCGTTACACACTACAACTACACTACATTTCGTCTAATGAAAATTAACAATAAAATAAACAAAGGGGAATGACTCCTGCATCAATATTGAATAAAAACGCAAATGACGTCATGAGCACGCACGGAGCTCAACAACATCCTGCCGATAATAGTATTGATAGTTCCCATCGAATATCGCTCACAAATTTTTCTTGCAATAACTTTCTTCCTTTAATCATAACTGACGTATATTTATTGTCACATTTATGTATTTCATTTTAAAAAACGCTTGCATTCCATAATATTACGAAAGGTAAAATTTTTAATTAACATGAAATTGGGGAAGCACTGATGAAGTATCTTTTGTTGTGTGTAGCAGCCTAGTGATGGCTTACTCACATCACGTGACCAAACAAGGAAGTGACTAAGCGACTCCCATTATTCAAAAATGGAGATAATTAAACAACCATTGTCTGGAACAGCTGGTCAAAGAACCCACGAGACAGTTAAACACTCTTGACCTTCTAATCACCAGCTGTCCGCATCGTGTCCAAAATTTGAGGTCATCCCATGGATATTAGACCAATTTATACCATATTTAGAATTTCAGGTCAACACACAGAATAGCGGTGGGTGTGCAAGACAGCAATCGCTGATTCAGTGAATAAATTCATACCACACAAGACCACCAAACCTAAGATACGTCAGCCAAGGGTCACGGCTGAAATCCGTAGGCTTATCCACAGGAGAGACCGCCAATACAAACGATTGAAAAAAAATGGTGCTGTTGAACTGAGAGAGGAGGTACTGAGGCTCCGCCGAACCAGCCACCGCTTATTGCGAAGATGTTATTTGAAATACCTGAACTTCATCGTCTCAGAGGAAGACAGCCCGACCAAGGGTGTCAAGAACAAGCGCTTCTGGAGCTATGTAAAGCATAAGAAGTCCTAAAACGCTGGAGTTTCCCCCCTGAGGTGGGATGGCGATTTGAAATCTGACCCAAAAGCAGAGGCTGACATACTCAATCAGCAAGTCCAGTCGGTCTTTGGTGACGGTAGTGAGTACTCGGAGGCTGAGTTCCTTCTTAAGACCAATATGACGAACAGAGCCTACCCTATCATGGAAGATAACCATGTATTAACATGGCTCTCTAGCTTCCTCAGCCACCGATGCCAAGCAGTAGTGGTGGACGGTACAAGCTCCTCCTTTGTCGATGTGAAGTCAGGGGTCCCCCAGGGATCAGTGCTAGGCCCCTGTTTGTTCCTAGCATACATTAATGACCTACCCGAGAAACTGACATCCCAAGCAAGACTGTTCGCAGATGACACCACTGTGTATAGTAAAATGCCAAAAGATCTTACCAGGACCAGCTAGAACAGGATCTCAATCTTTTAGCTGAGTGGGAGATGAGCTGAGACATGGAATTTCACCCCGCCAAGTGACAGACACTATCAGTCTCTAGAAGATGTACTCCTCTACACTACCAATACGAACTGCATGGACATATTCTTGAGCCAATTTCCTCCTTAATATACCTTGGTGTTACAATTCAAAGAGAGGTCCATTTTCCAAAATTGTATGCCTAGAATTAGTGAGCACAGTAACGTAGCGTAATTTTAATCACTACTTTGTCTATATCTGCATAATTTTAAAGTACCCAATAGAGAAAATATTTTTTTTTCTTTTTTTTCTTAACATTTCCATCATTTTTACATTTTCAAACGCTTAGAATGACGCTTGGAAGTAAAACGTCAATTAATTATTATCATAAACTTTAAGGTGTACTTTAATTTCTGTTTATTATCAACCAAAATTGTGTGTAACATCTCCTCGATTCTGAAATATCCCCTCGCCGCCACGTCTTCTAATGAACAAACGTATATTTTTCAACAAATGAATTACAATTAAATGTTTATATAAAAATATACAGTTAATTATTTCATTTATATGAAAATGATCTAAGAAAACTAACACAAAAACACTTTTTTACTAAGCATTCTTTCGGCGTTCTAACATAAATTTTAAAAATTCTCCAACAATAAACAAAGTGGAATGAATCCTGCAATTATCTTAAACAAACACACACATGATGTCATGGCCACATCTCTTTGCATTGGAAAAACATTTTAATATTTTAAAAAATAGGCCATATTTTTTTTATCTCTAGCTATCTCATTGAGCATTACATTACCTACAAAGTGTTTTTTACACACACAAAAACTCTTTATTTCCACTTTGGCAGTTTTACAATTGCACTTATCAAATGCTTCCCAACCTCCAGTAGATTGTTGAATTGCCAAGTTCTAGTAGCTTTTTGTCTTCCCAATGTCCAGTAGGTTGTTGTCTTCCCTGGTCCAGTATATTATGTCTTCTCAGTTCCAATAGATTGTTGTCTTCCCCAGGTCCAGTAGATTGTTGTCTTCCTCATGTCCAATAGATTGTCGCCTTCCCCAGGTCCAGTGTATTGTTGTCTTTCCAGTTCCAATAGATTGTTGTCTTCCCAAGATCCAGTAGATTGTTGTCTTTCAGTAAAGTTTCAGCTGACCTTAGATAGACTGGTTAGTCCATAGGGAAATTTTCAATAAAATTGTTTCTAGGAAGACTTTAATGAGCTTGTTTCATCAGTTTAAGGATCTTCTACTGCTCTAGATATCTCATAGAAAGCATGACGATTCTAGTCAAAGTGTGAAATACTTGAGACAGGATCCACTTATCCTAGTCATACCAATACCAAAGAACTTCAGAAATTCACACTTTACCTGTACGGACAAATAGAGTTCACGATGAATATAAGGGCCATTTAGTTGAATACGACACTGCTGGTGGGACTTTAAGCAAATCTTTTTTAATAGTAATAAAATATATAAGATAAGAAATAATTTGGCAACTGGACATTTATCGTCGCATCACAGCACATGAAAAAATGGTTACTCAATGTAGGCGATATTATGTCACCATTTTCATCATTATAAATGTGTTTTAAATGTTTCTAAAATATGAAACACATTCTGACATAATTGAAAAGTTTTTTGTTTTTTTTAATTAAAAAAACCTAGTGAATTAAAAAGAAAAGACTGTCACAAATGGATAATTATGCAAGGGAAAAAAAATTAAATTTTATTAAAATCTTATTTATATGATGCATTGATGCAAAAAGATAAACGGTATATAAAAATATATGCATCATGTTATTATTATACTTTTTGGTCCTCATTGTCTTCAAACTCAAACATGTGACAGTTGAGAACTTTTGACCCAAACTGTTTGTTGTGGAAATGCAGATATTACCTGGCCTGCTTTCGGGGATCGCTCTGATTTGTTTCATCGAAAAATCTGGTAAGATTGATTGAATTCAAATCTATTAAAACTAAGATTTTGAAATTATAAATAAGCTTTAATGGTGCTAAAGGGTGTTTGAATTCTTAAACCAGAAAGTATTTTTTTCAAAAAAAGTTGCATAAGATCACTCTTAAATGATAAGACACTTATTACCTAATGGAGTATTGGTAACTTGTGCTTACCCTAGGGCCCAAAATCTGTAAAACTTTCTATGAAAGACCGCTAACATAAATCAAACCGTCATATGCTGCGATCGCTTTCTGAGGCGTCACATAGTTGTTGTTTTTCTTACCATGGTTACAATTAGATATTTACCTGCAACAATCAATTAAGGATTAATCTCCCTTGAGCATTTCCTGCATCTATGGGGCTATCTAATTTTTAAAAATTCACTTAACCTTACCGGGGATAAATATATATTAAGAGAGTTTTTTTAATGTAAAATAAAGTTTATATTTGAAATTCTATACAAAAACAAAATGTAATGGGGGCTTCTGATTGTAAAATTTTCTAAATGCAATTGAATTTCTAGGCAAGCTTGCTTATTGAAGATGCCATAAGTCTTCTTTAATTTCAGCAATGTATGTGTTTTACGCACTGCCTTCTATAGTGAGGAATTAATCTCTTAGCTTAAGTTGTTGGCTCGTTCTTAACAATGCCTAACAAAGGACGATACCATAGAGATAACAAAGGACGATACCATAGAGATAACAAAGGACGATACCATAGAGATAACAAAGGACGATACCATAGAGATAACAAAGGACGATACCATAGAGATAACAAAGGACGATACCATAGAGATAACAAAGGACGATACCATAGAGATAACAAAGGACGATACCATAGAGATAACAAAGGACGATACCATAGAGATAACAAAGGACGATACCATAGAGATAACAAAGGACGATACCATAGAGATAACAAAGGACGATACCATAGAGATAACAAAGGACGATACCATAGAGATAACAAAGGACGATACCATAGAGATAACAAAGGACGATACCATAGAGATAACAAAGGACGATACCATAGAGAAATACAATATCAGAAATACAACACTCAGAACAGTACCAATTAATATTAATAAGATTAATTTAAGTATTGATAAAATCACAAAATAAAAGAAATATAATTACAAATCATCAACTTGAAGAGTATGGGGAAGACTTGTACCGGCACACAGTTAGTACAATGTGCCACAAAAATAAGTCACAATGATGATTGCGAACAAACACATATGAGTACACAAAGAATAATACACTTGTCTCGTAAAGTCAAAAATCTATTACTCCATCTCTCTCCCGTCTTTCAGTTCCCCGGCCTTATATATGTGGTTATCGCCTGTTTCTAAGAAGATTCGGGGGCAGAATATACATTGTAGCCGCGACTCGAATATTCTCAAAATTTCTGTAATTTACTACAATTCGGTACCCCATTCGAGTCAAGAGGAATAGGCCGTAGATTGTTTTGTGGTAAACAAAGATCAAAAGAAATGGGCCACGCCCAAGACGAACACAGGGAAATATGACGTAAACACGTCCTACATAACAATGTGTAGCTGACATTTTACATTTGGAACAATGTAAACCAAACCAAAATAACACAAATATTATTTTTTTCCACAGAATGTAACGATATATGGCGGTATGACTCTGACCTAGTTTTCTTGGATCCTATTGATTACAACCTGGGGAAGAAAAGTTGTATCGACGGCTACGTCCATGGCATTGACCATTTTATTCTCACTGGTTTCATCAACGTAACCGGGTACACGCTTCCGCAAATACATGCTCATTTTGTCTTAAGGTACCTTAATACTCGTCGCCCATTTGCTCGCTTTTATAAAGTAAGTAAAATTTAAAGTTTTTTTTCCCCGTTGCTTCTGTCTCAAAATGCATGGTGGGCATTTGTCGTTAGAGTGGCCATGACAATCATGGCACTGGCTCTCTTTCTATGTAACATCAAAACCTCAGAACACGGCATCGTTGGTAACATGGAAAATTGTATTAGACGGCAAAATGTGTAAGACGGAATAGCGTGTAAGACGGAAAAGCGTAGTAGACGGAAAAGCATGTAAGATGGAAAAGCGTGTAAAATGGCAAAGCGTGTAAGACGGTGAAGACTGTAAGACCTCAAAGCGTGAAAGATGGAAAAGCATGTAAGACGGAATAGCATGTAAGACGGCAAAGCGTGTAAGACGGAAAAGCGTTTGAGACGGAAAAGCGTTTCAGATGGAAAAGCATGTAAGACGGCAAAGCTTGTATGACCTAAAATCGTGTAAGATGGAAAAACGTGTAGGATGGAAAAGCGTGTCGGGCGGAAAAGCATATAAGTAGGAAAAGTGTGTAAGACGGCAATGCGTGTAAGACGTCAAAGCGTCTAAGATGGAAAAGCGTGTAAGACGACAAAGCATGTAAGACAGAAAAAGTGTAGGAAGGAAAAGCATCTAAGACGGCAAAGCTTGTAAGACCTCAAAGCGTCTAAGACGGAAAAGCTTGTAATACGACAAAGCGTGAAAATTTGTATAAGCGTTTAAGAGGGAAAAGCATGTGATACGGAAAAGCGTTTAAGACAGCAAAGCGTATAACATGGAAAAACGTGTAAGATGGAATTTCGTAGTAGACGTCAAAGCGTGTAAGATTGAAAAGAAGGAAAAGCGTGAGAGACGGCAGAGCTTGTAACACCTGAAAGCGTGCGAGATGGAAAAGCGCACAAGACAGCAATGGGTGTAAGATGGAAAAGCGTGCAAGACGGCAGAGAGTGTAACACGGAAAAGCGTGTGAAATGGTAAAGCGTGTAAGACAGCAAAAAGTGTAAACAGGAAAAGCGTGTAAGATGGAAAAGAGTGTAAGACGAAAAGGCGTGTGAGACGACAAAGCGTGTGAGAGGGAAAACCGTTTAAGACGGAAAAGCTTGTGAGACGACAAAGCATGGAAGATGGAAAAGCATGTAAGATGGAAAAGCATGTAAGATGGAAAAGCATATAAGATGGAAAAGCATGTAAGATGGAAAAGTGTGTGAGATTGAAAAGCGTGTTAGACGAAAAAGCGTGTAAGACGGAAAAGCGTGTAAGACGGAAAGCTTGTAAGGCCTCAAAGCATGTAAGATGGAAAAGCGTGTAAGACTGCAAAGCTTGTAAGACCTCAAAGCGTGTGAGTCGGAAAACGATTGAGATGGAAAATCGGGTAAGTGTGTAAGACGGCAAAGCGTGTAAGACGGCAAAGTGTGTAAGACGGCAAAGTGTGTAAGACGGAAAAGTGTGTAAGACGGCAAAGTGTGTGAGACGGAGTAGCATGTTAAGATGGAAAAGCTTGTGAGACGGCAAAGCGTTTGAAACGCAAATTAATACTGAATAGACAATGCAGGGAGCTCGAGCCACAGATACATGTAATGTTTATTCAGAAAAACAAGAATCTTATTACATGAGACACACTGCTTCATTGAAAACACTAACATTTGAGTTGCCTTCAACGTACAATGTCTATAATTTGAATTGAATATAAAATAGTTATCATATCGGATTCTTTTGACTAGAAAATATGGATGTATAGAATTGGGTCATGTACAATAATAATTGATCAATAATATTGTATATTAATTCTTTAAATATATAAAGCTTGTATCTCTGGACAAATAGTTTTAGTACAACTTCCACGTTTTAAGGAGTGTATCTAAAAAAATTGATATTCAGATGGGAAATATAATTATTTAGTTATTCAAATAAGAAATGAACACTGTTAACCCTTAAAACGAATTATAAGACTCTTAGTTTGTTTTAAAAAAATTAAATTTTAGTGTATGACATAGCTAAAACATCGTGCTGGCGACAGCCACGGTAGAAGGGCGCTAAACTATTGGGCTGGCGAAATGGGCGACAGCCACGGTAGAAGGGCGCCGAAATATTGGGCTGGCGATATGGGCGACAGTCATGGTAGAAGGGCGCCGAAATATTGGGCTGGTGACATGGGCAACAGTCATGGTAGAAGGGCGCCAAAAATTGGGCTGACGATATGGGTGACTGCCATGGTAGAAGGGCGCCAAAATATTGGGCAGGCGACATGGGCGACTTCCGTGGTAGAAGGACGCCTAAACTATCACGTGTTTTCCATTTTTTAATTGAATATTAATATAGCGCTTGTATCCATGCTACTATAACATGCTCACGGCGCTCTGATGTTCTTAAATCTGTTGAAACAAAAAAGTCTTTAAATGTTTCTTAAAAGATGTTTTATCGTTGGCAATGTCCCTCAAGGATTCGGGCAAACTGTTCCACAATTTTGGTGCTATCACTTCAAAAGAGCGCACTCCGTAAGACTTTTTTCTGTGTCCATCCACACCTGGAACACTCAGTAAGGACTGCCTTGAAGGCCGTAGGCTCTTTAAGGATGCGTGTTTAGAAATCAATTCTTTAAGGTATTCCGTCGCTGAGGCATCTATACAGCTGTACGCTATGGACAGAATTGTGTAGTCAATACGCTCACAGTACAGGAAGCCAATGGAGATCTCTAAGAACTGGTGTGATGTGGTCAGATATCTTTATTCGCGATACAATACGTGCTGCAGTATTCTGTAACGTTTGGAGTCTGAATTTGGTTTTGAGTTAAACCCCACAAACAACTGTTACAGTAATCTAATCTTGATTAGATGAGAGTTACTGCCACGGCATTGGATGTTCTCTTATTGAGTTGAGGACGCAGCTGACCCAGGGCGCGCAGATGACAGAAGCATGCCCTGACGACAGAACTGATACGGGGAATCATGCTAATTTTACTGTCAATAAAAAAAGTCAAGGTCTCTGACAGAGGAGGACAACGGGATCTCAGATTCACCAACTTTTATTGATGCCAAGGAAACCTTCCGAAAATTGGCGTCCGAACCACAGATAATTGCCTCAGACTTATCGTCATTTAATTTTAGTCTGTTTGATGATATCCATTCTTTCAGAGCAATACAGAAGTCCTCGACAGTCTGAACAGCAGAAGCACACTCCAACGGATCAGGGCGGAAACACTTGTATAATTCTGTGTCATCCGCAAACAATTTGCGGGAAATAGCATGAATTTCAATAATTCTGCCAAGCTGGCTAGTGTACATGGAGAACCAAATAGGTCCTAAAACTGAGCCCTGTGGCACACCACAGGTAACGGAAGTGTCCATGGAAGATGCTTGCTTCACTACAATACGCTAAGTCTTGTCAGTCAGATTAAAAGAAAACCGGCGAAGTGTAGTTCCAGATATGCCTGCCTCATTCAGAAGTCTTGACAGAAGAAGCTCATGGTCAATCACATCAAAAGTAGCACTGAGATCCAACAGGACCAATAGAGTCAGGTCGCCGTGGTCAGCACTACAAAGAACATCATTCATGACACGGAGCAGTACCATCTCACAGTTGTGTCCAGGTCGATATGCAGATTGAAACTTATCAAGTAAGTCAGAAGTGCTAAAATACTGCACAAGCTGTTGTGACACAAGTCTCTCAAGAATATTAGATACAAAGGGCAAGTTGGAGACTGGGCGAAAATTCTTGCGGTCATTTGGGTCCAGACCACTTTTTTAAAGCAAAGGCTTAACGATAGCTACCTTGAAGAGCAGTGGGACTGTAGCAGACTGAAGGCTTAACGATAGCTGTCTTGAAGAGACGTGGGACTGTAGCACGCTGAAGGCTTAACGACCGCTGTCTTGAAGAGACGTGAGACTGTAGCAGACTGAAGGCCTAACGACCGCTGTATTGAAGAGCAGTGGGACTGTAGCAGACTGAAGGCTTAACGATCGCTGTCTTGAAGAGACGTGGGACTGTAGCAGACTGAAGGCTTAACGACCGCTACCTTGAAGAGACGTGGGACTGTAGCAGACTGAAGGCTTAACGATAGCTGTCTTGAAGAGACGTGGACTGTAGCAGACTGAAGGCTTAACGACCGCTACCTTGAAGAGACGTGGGACTGTAGCAGACTGAAGGCTTAACGATCGCTGTCTTGAAGAGACGGGGGACTGTAGCAGACTGAAGGCTTAACGATCGCTGTCTTGAAGAGACGTGGGACTGTAGCAGACTGAAGGCTTAACGACCGCTGTCTTGAAGAGACGTGGGACTGTAGCAGACTGAAGGCTTAACGACCGCTGTCTTGAAGAGACGTGGGACTGTAGCAGACTGAAGGCTTAACGATCGCTGTCTTGAAGAGACGTGGGACTGTAGAAGACTGAAGGCTTAACGACAGCTGTCTTGAAGAGACGTGGGACTGTAGCAGACTGAAGGCTTAACGACCGCTGTCTTGAAGAGACGTGGGACTGTAGCAGACTGAAGGCTTAACGACCGCTGTCTTGAAGAGACGTGGGACTGTAGCAGACTGAAGGCTTAACGATCGCTGTCTTGAAGAGACGTGGGACTGTAGAAGACTGAAGGCTTAACGACAGCTGTCTTGAAGAGACGTGGGACTGTAGCAGACTGAAGGCTTAACGATCGCTGTCTTGAAGAGACGTGGGACTGTAGCAGACTTAAGGCTTAACGACCGCTGTCTTGAAGAGACGTGAGACTGTAGCAGGCTGAAGGCTTAACGACCGCTGTTTTGAAGAGACTTGGGACTGTAGCAGACTGAAGGCTTAAAGATCACTGCCTTGAAGAGATGTTGGACGGTAGCAGACTGAAGGCCTAACGATCGGTGTCTTGAAGAGACGTGGGACTGTAGCATACTGAAGACTTAACGACCGCTGTCTTGAAGAGACGTGAGACTGTAGCAGACTGAAGGCTTAACGACCGCTGTCTTGAAGAGACGTGGGACTGTAGCAGACTGAAGACTTAACGATCGCTGTCGAAGAGACGTGGGACTGTAGCAGACTGAAGGCTTAACGACCGCTGTCTTGAAGAGACGTGGGACTGTAGCAGACTGAAGGATTAACGACCACTGTCTTGAAGAGACGTGGGACTGTAGCAGACTGAAGGCTTAACGATCGCTGTCTTGAAGAGATGTGGAACTGTAGCATACTGAAGGCTTAACGACCGCTGTTTTGAAGAGACTTGGGACTGTAGCAGACTGAAGTCTTAAAGATCGCTGTCTTGAAGAGAGTTGGGACTGTAGCAGACTTAAGGCTTAACGATCGCTGTCTTGAAGAGACGTGGGACTGTAGCTTACTGAAGGCTTAACGACCGCTGTCTTAAAGAGACGTGGGACTGTAGCAGACTGAAGCCTTAACGACCGCTGTCTTAAAGAGACGTGGGACTGTAGCAGACTGAAGGCTTAACGATCGCTGTCTTGAAGAGACGTAGGACTGTAGAAGACTGATGGCTTAACGAGCACTGTCTTGAAGAGACGTGAGACTGTAGCAGACTGAAGGCTTAACGACCGCTGTCTTGAAGAGACATGGGATTGTAGCAGACTGAAGGCTACTAGTCACGATGTTGACCAGTACAGGAAGCAAGACTTCCAGACGGTCGAAAACAATCTCGGTGGGGATGGGGTCAACAATAGAAAATGTAGGTTTCAATACCATGATTATTTGTCGTAACTGTTCATTGGAAACTGAGGAAAATTTCGCTAGAGGATTCCCTTCAAAAACATCCTCCACTGCAGACTAATCACAACGTTCCCCAAAGCTCTTTCTGTTTTTTTTTTTTGGTTTTTTCAGTGAAAAAATCGCTCAGTTTAACTGCAGCTTGCTCGTTCTCATGTCAGGCAAAACAAGGGTTGATGTATTTTTCCCCGAGAAGTTCATTCACCACAGAGAACATCTTGCGAGAGTCAGTAACGATAGTTTGTCCAGTTCACGACCAATTCTTCTCCAACGCTTCTCCGCTATACACGCCTAACATGCTTTGCTCTCCGCACTGTGGGAGTTAACCAAGGGGAATTAGATCTGTCAATAACACACTTACTTGACACTGGGGCATATTTTTTCCAACAGAGGAGTGAGAGTCCGGTTTTAGAGAAGGATTAGTTGTTGAATATCTTGAGGTGGTGACTTCACTAACTTAGTCTCAGAAAGACAATTCCGAAAAGAATTCATGTTCATCTTCTTCAAGTTCCTCAATTAAATTCTCTCCCTCTGAGCAACAGTTCTAGCCATATGTGTTGTAAATCAAACAAGGAAGTGATCAGACAATAGAATATTATCCCCATTCACAGACTGAACTAATAACGCTTTGTTGGATCTTGAAAGAACCCAGTCCAAGATATGACCATCCCTATGCGTTGGTTCCGAAACATGCTGGACTAAATCAGATGAGTCAAACAACTGTGTAAGAAGACGACTATTACTGCACTTTGGATCGTCCCAGTGAAAGTTAAAATCACCCAGGATGAGTGGATTTTTGTTGCTAATGGTTGTTACAAGTCCTCATGAAACGTGTTGACGTTGAGCTTATTAGCAGCAGAAGCCGGCGGTCTGTACAGAGCGACAGTTCGTACCGTTTGTTTGCCGTGAGAGATTACAAAGCTTAAACCCTCAAACGAAGCAAAAGTAAGCTGATTACACAGTCTCACAGTAATGGAGGATCGATGGATGATAGCCACCCCCACCTCTCTGACCAGAAGACAGATGACGGTCGAAAAAGACGTAGTCGGCAGGGGTCATTTCTTTAATTGCTGGCTCATCACCACCTTCATGAAGCCCTATCTCCTTGATGATAATAATGTCAAGCGATTTCTCAGTGATAAGATCACTGATGACCAATGCTTTCTTTACAGATGACTGCGCATTAATGAACCCAATGGTAACTTTGCCAGTCTTTTGATACACTTTCATTGTGGGAGCTGAGGGACGAAATCCCATCTTTTTTCTAACCCCACGAAAACCTCTTTCTGTGTTTCTTTTTTTATTAAACACAGTGTTCGAAATCGAGCAAGAACTTCCATTCTAAGGAGATAGCTATCAGGGGTATGCAGCTGACGCAGTGTAGTAGATGAGTGGTTAAGGGTTTTGCATTTCTTTGAAGTTAATTAGTCAGACTGTCAAAACAACTTGAATCAGACAGACACTATTGTGGCCCGACAATTGCTACACAGCGTCGCAAATAGTCCTGTCGAGGATTACACACTGTTACCTCAGAGCTTCAGCACGGTGGTTTGTTATGAGTGAGAATTTCAACTACAAAACATTGAATCAACAAAGTTACGGATGGATCCAACAAGGAAAACAGAATGTAAAAACAATAATTGCTTTTAGTGTGTATTGTGAATTTTTTCTGTGTAGACTGTACATCTAGAAAACTGTCAAAAGTTGGTGCAACAGATAAAAATGCACGGTCAACAGTTAGTACAGAATTGCCAATACACCGAATGCAGGTCATCATTCAACTCCTGGCAGTTCATTCCAATAAGAAGATTACTCTAACAACTAATTAGTAATTTGTGCAATCGAACAAACCGCATTCTTTCAAATAATTATAAATATACGCTACAGCTGTTTGAAAAAATAGTATTACTTAAACATTTAAGTCTTATAGTGTTACAGTTTATTTAATATTTTAATCTTTGCATTTTCTTTAAGGATTGGGGTCGTATTTGGGGTTGCTGTTGAGAGTGCGCGAAATTTTACAGATGGCCTAGGGCGCTGGAAAGCATGGTTTCGACCTTTGTGCATGCATTTCAGAAATTGAACCTTTGTTTGTAAATCATTTTTCCTCCCTTGATTTAGATGTGGAATACCTTCTTTAACTTGTGGGATGAAAGATGCACTGATGTACAAGAAGTCCCATTAGATAAATGCCAATGTAAATATGAGTCGGCCATCACCATACGTGTCAAGTGTAATTTGACGGCTTATGACGTATACTCGAACAAACCGTTTCAATTGCAATTTCAAACTCCTTCTTATTTTTATATTTCTTCTAATAAGTTCATGACCAAGGTGTACAGTAAGTGAACATATTTCTATTTTGTTTTGAAAGTGTTTTAAAACGCATTTATTAATCTCGCTTATTCATAAATACCTTTTGGTGTATATAAATAACAGCAGAAAACCAAGTGCCTGGTCAGCACCCTAATCTAGTACAGCGGTTCTGTAAAGTCCTAAAATGTTCTCATGAGCTCATCTCTTAGCAAGAGGCACCCTTCTATTGTCTAGGTCAGGTGTTTCAAACTCACTTGCTCGGCGGGCAAAAAGTCAAATCACATGTAAGGTTGCAGGTCAAACGAGATAAAAATTCAATAAGTGGCAAATGAACATTAAAAAAAAAACTCTATCTATAAATAATTAAAAATATAAGAAAAAGAAATAATCAAAAATCAATGGCATACCCATTTTCGTTCTTATGATGCCAATTTGTCAGAACTGGATTTTCTTTGATACAGAAACAAGTACGTTCGTTTATAAAGGGAGTAACGTTCTGTGTCTTAGAGTATCTCATGATGGATTGCAAGTGTTCATCAGTGAGACGGCTACTGTGTGATGTTTTGTTAATCCTCATAACAGAAAACAGGTGCTCACACACATGTGTGCTAGCCAACATGTTGAAGTTTCGAGCCTCATATAGACGAAGTAGGGGCATCTATTCAGGAATGATCCTTTAGTGTCCCATTACACTGCAGATCTATTAGCTCCATCAGAAAATTTACAGATGCAACGCCGGCCTTTAGGGTGTGTGACCTGTGCCCTCGCACATGGCGCTAAGGCCATAGGGGCGCCTTGGGCGCCCAGTAAATATTTAAATTCCTTAAGTTTATTATAATGAAGTGTAAACCTAGGGTCTGGCGTCGAGAAACTGTATTGTAACTTCTATACACGTGAGTTTCATAAAATGAGATTTCATACAATGCAAGTTGCATTCTTAATTAAGATACTAACACTGGAGTTGTTACCAACCGAAAGGGTGTAGAAATTTAGTTTATTAATACCATATTTCCTTGTCCCTCTTACAATTTTTTCAGCAGAAAGAATATGGGGAGCAAAAAGCTTTCCAGTGCGAGAAATCGCAAGCACAAAGCAAAAAAAAGTACGTCGTAATCGGGAAAAGAGGGAGCCATACAGGGACAGTGAAGATTGCGCTGAAAGAGTGTTTTACACGGGGCGAAAGTTTACATAAGGTCGGCGTTGACAGGTGCAGTTTCCACGTCTATGACTAATGGGTTACGAAACCGATTGAAATTACATTTCTATGCTTCAAAATTGCTAAACCACCATGCGAACTGGACGCGAAGTAAGCTAAGTTTTTCAGCAGAGTGTGCATTGGTAAACGGCATAGCTTTTACTTGTATATAATTGTACGCCGGCCAAGACCTCACCTGATATAATTTAACGGCGGGCCGGATGTGGCCCGTGGGCCTTGAGTTTGACACATGTGGTCTAGGTTATGTAAATAGAATGGAGTAAGGTCACACTTTTACTTCATTGGCATTGTAAAAGGCTTTAAGGAAGGTCTTAACCTTACTATACAGCGTTTGTAAAGAGAATAAAGAAAGGTCTCGCGTTTACTGTATAGGTGATGTAAGAGAATGGATGAAGACCGTATTACGCAGGAAATGCCGTACGGAGAATTGCCCTACGAGTCAAGACTTATTGAACGGTCGAGCGGTGCTATAAAGAATCATGCAAAAGAAACATGTGGGGAAAACAGCATTGAAATGCACGAGTCGGAGATGATCAATGAATCCTTTTACGGTCTGTGAGTCTACGAGGAAGTCAAACAGGCAAAAGATGCGCGAAATAAAGGCTTTGCAAAAAAAAATATGATAATAACGTTAGACAAACCTTAAAAATTAGCTTTTCGTATAAATCATTTATTAACAGTAGTATTGAGTAATAGAGGTTTAAAATTTGTCAAATCATGCATACAAGTAACGCACTTTTAGGATTCCCAATGTATGCCCCGCTCATCCACCCCCCAACCCCAAACCCTCAAGGCCCTCAACCCTTCACACAATTAATATTCTAATGACCCAACTGCTTTTACGATACAGATTAATTTTACCAAGAATGTTAGAAAACGAAAGAAAATAATACACACCAAACTCACTTGGGGTATCTTTTTAAAGAGATATTTAGCAAAGTTATCGGGAATCATATTTTACCTACTCGTTGAAAAGTAGCAGAAACTGATATTTGGGTGTTGGGGTTAGAAGTTCACCGCTGAAATTTTAAACAATTTGTTTCCATCTGCAATGAGTTTGTGGGCTAAGTTTCAGCCCAATAGCTTGACGGGATTTTGGTCAATTAGCCAGGCAGTCAGCAAGCCAGCCACCCACAAAACGGGGGTAAAAAAGTCAAGTTTCTCCTGCAGGACGTGCAGCCCAGATGATCATTCTAGGATCAGCTTCATTGGCCATTCTAGGATCAGCTTCATTGGCCAGTCAAGGAGCAGGAGCAGCTTCAGTGGCCAGTTTAAGACCAGCTCCAATGGTCATTCTAGGACCAGCTTAATTGGCCAGTCTAGGACCAGCTTCATTGGTCATCTAGGACAACTCCATTGGCCATTCTAGGACAAGCTTCATTGGCCATTCTAGGACCAGCGCCTTTGTGTAGTCTAGGACCAGCTTCATTGGTCAGTCTAGGGCCAGCTCCATTGGCCATTCTAGGACCAGCTTCACTAGCCATCTAGGAGCTGCTTCATTGGCCAATTTAGGACTTGCTTCATCGGCCACTCTAGGACCAGCTTCAAATACCATTCTAGGGCCAGCTTCATTGGCCAATTTAGGAGCAGCGTCATTCGCCAATTGAGGACCAGCTTCATTGGCCATTCTAGGACAATCCTCTTTGGCCAGTCTAGGGCCAGCTGCAATGACCATTCTATGATCTGCTTAATTGGCCAGTCTAGGGCAAGCTTTTAACGCTATGTTAGGACCTGCTTCAATGGTTATTCTAGGATAATATTCCTTTTTTCCATTCTAAGACCATCTTCTTTGGCTAGTCTAGGACCAGCCTCATTGGTCATTCCAAGTCCAGCTTTATTTGTCAGTCTCGGGCCAGTTTCATTGGCCATTCTAGGACCAGCTTCCTTGGCAATTCTAGATCAGCTTCATTGGCAAGTCTAGGAGCAGCTTCATTGGCCAATTTAGGACATGCTTCATTTGAAAGTCTATGACCAGCTTCATAGGCCCTTTTAGGGTCAGCTTCATTGGCCACTCTAGGAACAGCTTCTTTGGCTAGTCTAGGACCAGCTTCATTTGTTATTCCAAGACCAGCTTCATTGGCCAGTCTAGGACCAGCTTCATTGGCCGTCTAGGACCACCTTCATTAGCCATTCTAGGACCAGGTTCATTGACAATGCTAGAATCATCTTCCTTGGCCATTCGAGGGCCAATTTTATTGGCTAGTCTAGGACCAGCTTCATTGGTCATTCATGACCATTTTTATTGGCCAGTGTTGCACCAGCTTCATTGGACATTCTAGGATCAGTTTCCTTGGCCAGGCAAGGACAAGCTTCATTTGCCAGTCTAGGAATAGATTCATTGGTCATTCTAGGACCAGCTTTTGTGGAAATTCTTATACCAGCTTTATTAGCCATCTAGGACCAGCTTCATTGGCTATTAAATGATTTTAATAGCTATCCTAATTTGGCAGCATGTCAAATTTTTAAAACAGAACAAATTTTAGATAACATCCATAATTTATATTGATTGAAATGATAGTTTTCATATTTGCATAAAATGGGTGTCATCTTATATGTTAGCCTTATTTGAATTCGCCCTAAGAGCGTTGAAGATTTAATAAGCAATCACTTATTAAGAATCGTATAACAATCCCTCGTGTTAATGGGTATTCTCTAAAACTTAAAGTGTAATCACTGGGGCGCTTAATGAAAACATAATCAGCCAGCCCTGGTAGTTTATCAAATAGTTCGTAGGTAAGCACGAATGTAATTCAAAGTGCTGATTTCAATTATGCGTCAAAGAATTTAACAAAAGACATTTAAACCAGTGAGCAGAGCTGCCCCTGGACGGTAATGGAGAATATCGACTGCTCGAGTAGATTTATTAAAATAGTTCGTCAAAGCATGAGGATCCAATGAGTAGACAAATGGATTTGGGGGGTGGGGCTGTGGCTTTTCAGGTAATTAATTGCGTTAAATAAGGCTAATTCCTAGCCCCCCCCCCCCCAACTTGGTTTTATCAGCCATGCATTCCGTTCCCAGACAGTGATAACGGGATTCCCATAAGTTACTGTACTCGTCGAGGACTATTCAGTCTTCGAATATTGAAAGCTATTTCAAAAGTCAAATGAACGTTTATTATTATCATTAGGTGATTGTTTATACAACGCAGTGCCCCAGCTTAAGGCTAGGCTCACGGCGCTTCAAACAAAAATTAGCAATTACACAAACGTATACATTTAAAAAGAACAAGCGGTAAAAAGCTTGAGCTCACCCGTCCACGTACTATCTACCTCTAGCCGTGGATAGCACCCAGCGGCATCGAGATTTGTTTATCAGTTAGAGGGGGTGAGAATGAGTCGGTGTAGTACAGTTAAAAGAGATGGCTTTTAAGGGCACATAGAAAAAGTTCACTAAAATTGGAAGGGAGGAAACCAGAGAAGAAGTTGCGACAGAGAACAGACAGCTTGTAATCAATGCGTGCCTGTATTGGGAGCCAATGAAATGAGTGAAGTAGTGGAGTGATGTGATCACGTCTCTTTGCCTTTAGAACTAAACGAGCAGCTGAGTTTTGTACTTCCTGCAGTTTTTCTATGAAATGTTTTGGTGAGCCTGACAGAAGAGAGTTACAGTAGTCAAGATGAGAGAAAACAAAAGCGCGGACTAGTGATTTTCTTGCGCTGGCTGTGTGTGATGTAGTGGCGGTTGGAGCTGATGTGACGGATAGATGTGTACGCAGAGCGACAGATGGGAGAAATTAGTTGCTTCTTACCAGCTGATCCTTACGACCTAAATGGAAAATCAGAAGAGAAAACTCGCAAAATACTTCAATTATTTTCTATAGCTAACGTCGGCAACGATTACAACCTCACCATCCATATAACAAAACAGACATAATACACAGGAACTTCCAGAACAACCTTAAAATGAACCGAACGGATGTGAGGAGAAAAAAACTTCAATAATTGAAAAAATCACATATTTAAGTACAACACTCTCACAACGAATACTATTAGATGATGAGATAAACAACATAATCTCTACGTCAAATGTTGGATGTGGAATACTTCAAAGGAATGTCTGGGAGGAAGAGGACTCATCATTTTCACTAAGCTGAAAGTATGTAACGAAATCGTTTGGGCAACACTCCTTAACGCCTGTGAGACATGTACAGAGTAAAACAGACATCCTCGATAACCTGGCTATTTCCAAGTACGCTGAGTAAGCAAACGTCTTGATAACTTGATCATTTCCAAGTACGCTGAGTAAGCAAACGTCTTGATAACTTGACCATTTCCAAGTACGCTGAGTAAGCAAACGTCTTGATAACTTGACCATTTCCAAGTACGCTAAGTAAGCAAACGTCTTGACGTGCAGTTGTCTGACAAAATCCTTGTAACTACAGTCCTAAAAGGCTGGCCTTAGCAGCATCCATATGGTCTTACATCAAGGACCGATCCTTTAACTTTATCAATTCTAGACTTGATTGTCCTCGTTTTAAAAAGAGTTTAAAAAATATGTCTATATTATTTTTAGGTAGCACTTCTTGCAGAACGGGAGCCTCAACAAACGGAGGTAACTACACTTATTTAAAGTAAACCACGTCAGATCTTTATTATTGTCACCTTTTATTATTCCAAAACTTTTATTTAAATTAAACTGATCTTTACAATCCACCCGCCCCCCCCCCCACCTTCCTAAAATTTCTTTAGTGGCTCCCATTACTTGAGGATACATTCATCATTGACTGACGGATTTTAAGAGTGTAAAAACCTTTTGTTTGATTTATTTACAGGCATGAGTCCACATGGCAGAAACAAAGGAACCCCTGGTAGGTATTTTATACTATGTTGATATGGCCAGTGGGGTTAAGAGTCTCTTACTAAGAGATATAACATCTAGATTTGTTCATTTTATAAAATTGCTATAAGATACATATGCATTTTTTTTTTTTACATTCTAAATTTGATTGTAAGTTGTAGTTTTGTTTAATGGTGGGGAGGGCTGGGTGGTTTCCCTATTGTTAAGACATAAGATCTGAATGACATGTCATCGTTGAAAATAAATTTTTGCAGGGGATATTGGATTTCACGAAATGGTTTCGTCGAGAAATGTGGTGCTAGAACGAGTAGCTTTAGGCTAGAGACTGGGAACTCGATCCCAAACATAATGTGCACAAGAGATTTATTTGATACACGTCATAGCATGCGTCATTATGGTTTAAGTAAAAAAAACAAACTTACACTATATTTAAAACACAGATTGTCCTGAGCGCGCTCAACGAGTCAAAGGTCACAGATATGTTACAGTTGTCATCAGGGGCGGAGACTTGGCAACATAAGGGATCTGTGTTACTGTTCATTCTTTGTAAATTCCTTTGTATAATAAATGCATATTTCTTTTGCTATGGGGAGATCTTGGTTGCTTTTCATAAATATCTATATATTTTGCGAAGGGAGAACTTGGTTGCTTTTCATAAATACATTTTTATTTAGGTAAGAGGGAACTTCGTTGGGGTTCCTGACTTTTTTTTCCAGGAAGTCCCCTACTTCTAATGTGATAGATTTTAAGCCACCTTTCCAGCTCCTCCACTCCCATCATAATTAATATGCTAATAAATATATCCTTTTATTGTCTTAACAGGTCACATCTTTCTCGTCATGGCTTTGGTCTGCTCTGCTGCATCAATGGTTTCGAATGGCCAATGAACTCACCGATGGTACTATCCTTTTATTGTCTTAACAGGTCACATCTTTCTCGTCATGGCTTTGGTCTGCTCTGCTGTATCAATGGTTTCAAATGGCCAATGAACTCACCGATGGTACTATCCTTTTATTGTCTTAACAGGTCACATCTTTCTCGTCATGGCTTTGGTCTGCTCTGCTGGATCAATGGTTTCAAATGGCCAATGAACTCACCGATGGTACAGCTGGGTGCTAGGGGGCGGTTTGGATCAACGGAAATATGTGATCTCTTCATAACGTGCAGTTCATTAGATTGGGCAATAAAAAACATTTTAAATAACAATTTAAATAAAATAATAAATTGGGAAGCCACCATCATAAAATATGTCAAGTATAACATGTATAACAACACGGAACTGCAACAAAGGTGGGAATTAAAGATGACATTAAAAAAATATAATTCCAAAAAAAATCTTGATTACGAAAGAAACAACTTTATTTATTTTTTAGAATATAATTTTTTACAATTATTATTAATTTGTATATATAATCATCACAAATATAAATAAATTACATCTTAAATACCAATAAGAAATCCAAATAAACGAATGGTGGCATGAAATGTCATAAGCTAATAAAATAATTTTGCAAGATGTTTGGAACTTCACTTTAATTTATCATTTTTTTTAAATTTTATATATGTTGTTTTTGTATGAGTGCGGTGGGGGAAGTACAAATGGATTTGTTCAATAACTTAAGAACAATCTGTAAATGGATCGTCTTTATGTTCTTCTCAGTAGCAACTCCCATCGGGACCATATTGTATAACCCCTCACAATCTTTATTACATTTTTCGGAATTAACAATTGCAACATTGATTGATATAAATAATAAATACATCAACAAAAAGATATATTAACATAAAGAACTTGGAATCACTTTCTAAATGGGCCTTCCCCCAGCACTCCCGAATCTGCCAGGAAGTTCTGAAAACGTAGCCCCAAATGGAGCCTGGATAGTCGCTGTGATGTGCGTCTTTGAACTCTTTCTGAGAGTGATTTTTGTAGATAGAATCCGTTTTCCAAAGTCGCACTATAAATTGATGAATAGACCTTAAGGATGCCAACCTGGCGGTTTTAATGGTATATTTACTTACCAAATCATTCAGGGGGACCTTGTACTTTGCAGACCACTTCCAACCGACACAGCATGTTGGAAAATATGCCATATTTTGTTTGACGTTTTAAACATTTTCAGATATAAAATTTATGATAAAAACGCAATGATGAGTAACATTGCTGGAGCCCTTTTTAAAAACAAATATAGTTCTTTATAGACAGGTGCTAGCCGCTAGAAATATTAATAAAAATTAAATGATTCCGTCAAAGTAAAAAAACTATATTATATCAAAACCTCTAAAAAGCAGTATCTTCAAGCTAATGTGCCAAGGTTTGGAACGTTAACAGTCCCTTCAGTTGCATATTGAAGCAAAGTCATTGTCTCGAGGAAGAGCCGTGAGCGTTTGGTGGAACTCTTTGCTGAAGTGAAAGCAATTCTAATGAACAGCAATAATTTATTGCTGACAGTTTGAAATTTTCACTGGGTCAACATTTTCGGCAATATGAACAAAATGAATCAATCATTGCAAGAAAGAACTGCTACAGAATTAACTAAAAAGTGTGTTTAAATAGTCATATTTTCCAGCAATATGAACAAAACGAATCAAGTCCTATTCTTCATCATCAATCCATCTGTGTCTTGGGCGACCGCTGAACCGTCTGGCCCTAGGTTTCTTTCGGTAGATCACATCGAGTAACGGGAACCCATCGAGTAACGCGATCCCATCGAGTAACGCGATCCCATCGAGTAACAGGATCCCATCGAGTAACGCGATCCCATCGAGTAACGTGATCCTATCGAGTAACAGGATCACATCGAGTAACGCGATCACATCGAGTAACGGGATCACATCGAGTAACGGAATCACATCGAGTAACGCGATCCCATCGAGTAACGCAATCCCATCGAATAACGCGATCCCATCGGGTAACAGGATCCCATCGAGTAACGCGATCCCATCGAGTAATGAGATCCCATCGAGTAACGCGATCCCATTGAGTAACGCAATCCCATCGAGTAAAGCGATCCCATCGAGTAACGCGATCCCATCGAGTAACAGGATCCCATCGAGTAACTCGATCTCATCGAGTAACGGAATCACATACAAAAGGTCCAGGGAAGGAGTGTGTTTTTTTTGTGTTTTTTTTTTAATCGCCTTTACATATTTCGCCATAACTTACCACACCAACACCGTCGACGCAGCATACCGGGGCTGTAGCTCTGTGTTATCACCTTAGATACAACCTTGCAGGTCAGCGCGAGGGCGACTGGATCAACCGAACAAGAGGGCTTCGTGTGTCAACTAAACAATTGCACCAGACAAACAATGTGGAAATGCAAGTGGAAAGAACGTTTTTAATAATAAAGCTGCTTTTATGTCTGGCTCCGGCGGAATATGTCAACCACGGATCATATTTTTACTATAAGATGCCTCCTAAAGAAATGTTACGAATATAACATCGACATACACCAACTATATGTGGATTACAAAACAGCATACGATAGCTTAAACGGGAATTACTTATACATGGTTCTACAAGAACGTGGAGTCCTTAACAAGCTTACTCGACACATACATATGACGATGGCCAACTCCAAAAGTAGAATCAAGGTGCAGAGAGAATCCTCAGGGTAGTTCCCAGTTAATCGGGGCCTCAAGACAAAGTGACTCACTATCATGTATCCTGTTTAACATCACGGTAGAAAATGTTATTAGAAGCATACGTGTGAGCACCAGTGGAACCATAACAAACTACTTCCAGAGAGGTATTACAGAAAAAAGAAAAGCAGGATCCTTATATAACCAACCATTGCAGTACCTGGCATATGCAGACGATATAGCGCTACTGGGCAGTAACCGTAAGGACATAATTAAAGCATTCAGGGAACTCGAAAATGCCTCAGTCAAAGCTGGTCTTGATATAAATGAACCGAAGACAAAATATAGGATAGTGTCAAGATACTCCCATGCTAATGTTAACATCAATATAAACAACCACAAATTTGAGAGAGTGGCCACATTCAAATATCTAAGGGGAACTATAAACGAGCACAATGAGATAATGTCGGCCTTCCAAATTTTCCCTAGTATGGCTTGCGCTAGACTGGGGGAAGTTCGCATCACTTTGCTGGAGGTAGTGTGCACGTGATCTGCCTCTTCGTGGCGTGGAAGACCAGTACGGACATGCTTCCGGAAGCCAAAGATCACACTGTCCCAGACCGGAAGACCCACTGAGCTAGGGGGGGGGCGACGCAAAGCCCTCTTCCACTGGGAGGAAGATATTTTGCTCAAACCAATATTACTCATGAACATGTCAGATTTGTAATTAACGCAGGTTCCACTGGGGGGGCTTGGACACGATCCTTCCCCTCCGACCGCGGCAACCTTAAAAAGCCCTCGATACCCACTGTTGGGAGACTGGGTGGGACCGAGTAATGCTACAGTTGTGGTGCGTGGACTGCATCCTCTCCCCGCGGATGTCCCCATGGGGAAGGCGTCCCCTCTCGCACGTGTGACGCTCGACAGGCGCGTGCGAGGCCAACAAGCGACTGTTCGAGGTCGAAAAGGTGGCACGGGACACCTAAAACATTCCCTGGTCGTGCTCCAGTTGAATGTGTGTGGTATCAGGCAAAAGTCACACGAAGTAACCAAACTACTCCACGAACACGGAGTGGATGTTGGACTGTTCCAAGAAACGATGCTTCATGGGAAGCCGTTTCATATCACTGGTTACTCGCTATACCATTGCAAGTGTGGGCGATGCCAAGGCATAACCACAGCGGTTCGTAATGATCTCACGGCGGAGATCATTGAGTGCAAACGTTACGCAAATACTGACACGTTGTCGGTAAAAGTCACTAAATGTGGGAAAACGTTCGCCGTGACTAACATTTACAATTCTCCAAGCAATGTGATCACGATCCCCACCCACGGGGAGACGATCTTTAAACGGACTATAATTGCAGGAGATTTCAATGCCAAATCCCCCATGTGGGGTTATCCAGAGCGGAACGGCTCAGAACGGAACGGCTCTGGTAAGCACGTGGAAGAGGTCTGTCTCGAAACCAATCTTATCAGGCTTCAGGACGAGAAAAGTGCGCCCACTCTCCTTCACTATGGCCATGGAACGGAGTCCAGGCCTGATCTGACGCTCGTGTCCGCTGATCTCACGGGACATCAGAAACTTAGTGTCCTTGAAGAGATAGGGAGTGACCATCTCCCCTTATTATTAGAGATTGACTTGGGACGGGCCAAAACCAAGTGCGATAAACGCCACTGGCTCTTTCGCAGAGCCAACTGGCAAAATTTCCAAAGTCAGTGCGAGACCAAGCTCGGACTAATTGCAGTCGACGTGGCCGACTCAGACTTAGATGGTGCTTTCGAGAAGTTCAATGGCGCCCTCCTAGAGGTCGCCCGTGTGACGATCCCGAGAACGACCGGGAAGCGACCATACAAGCCCTTTTGGAACAAGGAGCTTGCGAAACTCGTGAAGCGAAGAGCGAAGGCTCGGAAAGAAGCCGCGAGAAAGAAAACACCGGCTGCTCGTGCTGGTTACAATAAACTTACGGCTGAAGTCCGGGCAGCTGTTCAAAAGGCGAAAAAATCGAAGTGGGTAAGTGCGTGTGAAAAACTCAATCTTCTAGACGGTGGGAAGGTGTGGAATCTGCTCGGAAGTCTCTCTGGTGCGGGGAAGGCCAAAAACCCGCAACCATTACTATCGGACAAAGGTGTCGTGGCGAGCGACAAAGAAAGAGCAAATGTGCTCAATGCTCACTTTGCCGCAGTGAACAATGAGTCAAAAGTGTCAAAAGAGACCCAAGAGCATAAGGAAATCCGCCGTCTGAAGAAAAGGGGAGCTCGTATCCAGCGTACTGGACCCCACCCTGAGATTTTCACGGTTCCCTTCACAATGGAAGAATTGCAAAGCGCGCTCAAAAAGTGCTTGCCGGCGAAGGCACCAGGCCCAGACAAAGTTCACAATGAAATGTTGATCCACCTGGGTAAACAGGGGAGAGAACTTCTGCTGGCTCTCATAAACCGAACTTGGACTACAGGTATTTTACCGAAAGGGTGGAATCAGGCCATAGTGGTTCCCGTACCAAAGGAAGGGAAACCAGGCCATTTACCAAGTAGCTTTAGGCCAATATCGCTAACGTCTTGTGTGGGTAAAGTGGCCGAGCGAATGGTAAATGGAAGACTCTACTGGTTCTTGGAGAGTTATAAGCACCTACCACCGACGCAAGGTGGCTTCCGTAAGGGTCGTCAGCCCATGGACCAGGTGATCTGTCTTGTTCAGTCCATGACCAACGAGCTCCAAAAGAAAA